CCAATAAAAAAGATAAATCATTAGAGGTGAAATACTAATGATTAAACATACATGAAAATGCTCAAGATCATTTTTAATAAAAATTAAAACAATATAATTCTATTTTTGGCCTATTACATTACCACAAATATTAATTTTATCTAGTGCTGGCAAGTAATAGATAAATGGACAACTCATATATGGTAGTGGGACTCTAAATTAGTTCAAATTTTTGGCAAAATCCCTCTGATCTAGCAATCCCACTTTTAGAAATTCATTCTAAGAAAATGATCAAACTATGCAAAGATTATGCATAAGGATGAACACGTAAGTCAACCTTAGCAAGACAGACACAATTCAAGTCTCTGTAAGGGTTTGGTAAACTAAATTATGGTATACACATCAGGTAGAATATTATGCAGTCATAAAGCAATGTAGATTTATATTTACTGACATAGAAAGTTGTCCATGATGCATTGACGAACAAGGTAGCAAGTTGACATACAGGAAATATATAGCAGTGTTATTTTAGTCGGTGTGTCTGTGTAGAGGAAAAATTGCAGGGAAGGGTGGGACTCATGCAACGTTAAAACAGTTCAGTCTGGAATGTGACAACCAATTGTCTTCACTGTCCTCATTTTGGTTTTCTATTTCTTCAATAATTTAAAAAATACGTAACTTAAGAGAAGAGAAAATAACTTACAATGTTTTGAAATTGATTGAAACCCTGAGATCTGCAGGTAAGGATAGCTAATCAGACAGAAAGCACATAAAGAAAAGTATTTAAAAAAAATAAGATAAAACAGTGCATTTCTGGACGTAGTTAAATTAGAATAGGTATATTTTTCTTGCTTTAGAAAATGGAACTCATATCAAATGCTTTTGGTGGGAACTCTATGGTGGGAGATTCTATTATTCTTGTCACTAATACTGTCTTTAAATGCATAAGTTTATAATTCAAAGTACAAATTTTAAGAAGTTAGAAATATCTTTGTCTCTAGTTTTTCAAATGTAGATTATAAAAAAGAAAAACAACTTTCAGTTTCCATGTGCAAGAGATTTTTTTCGAAGCCATTTTAAAACCCACATCTCTTGCAAATACTACTATATATAAAATAGATAAACTAGTTTCTACTGTAGAGCACAGGGAACCACATTCAATATATTGTAATAACCTATAATAAAAAAGAATATGAAAAGAATGTATGTATGTATGTGTATACTGAAACATTATGCTGCACATCAGAAATGGACACAGCATTGTAAAACAACTATACTTCAATAAAAATAAAATAAAATAAAACCCACATCTCATAAATGCACTACTCTTGGCTGCAACATTCTTGGTCATAGCTACGAAGGAGTCCAGCAGTCACAGAGCACTTGACATAGCCCTTTAGTCTTTCATGTAGCAGCATGTGTGCCTCCTGACCCGAACGAGAGAAACGGGGAAGGAAATAACTCATGGCAAACGCGGCTTTGATGTTCCTCCAACCACACGCTGTGATTGCTTTTCCTCCTTTGGAGTCTTGATGTACAGAATGGGCTGGAGGGGGCGCACACGCCTGCTAACTCCCACACAGCAGGCCAACGCTAGT